ACATGCACACGGAGATTTGAGAAGTGCTAGTGGATGTTCTTTATCCACCCAAACATAGAGTGATCCTTGAGGAAAGACAGAACTACTTTAATAGAGCAACTTTGTCCAAAATATTCAGTCATGAATGTAACAATACTTTTGGACATGGTCCACTCACCACTCAATAAAGAAACACAAAAACCTAAAACATATCACATTGCTGATATATATTAATGAACTTTGCAAATGGGAAAATGTAAATTAAAATATAGTACATACATATTCATTAACTACTTAAATCAATTACACAAGTCTTCCAACTGTTTCCAACCTAAGGTATTTCTTTAGCAAAAAATATACCACTGATGACTATTACATTGAACTCTAGAAATATGAATATTAACTAGTAGACAATTATTTAGTGACTAAGTACAATAGTTTTTAAAAGAATTGTATCATGAAAGTGATGAATTCTAGTTTGATACATTCGAGAAACCCTTTCCCAAAAGCAGTTCAACCAATAATGCGTACTGTTGCTTTCTTCCAAGTATCTTTAAGCAAATCAGTATCAATGCTGGGAGGAAGAGGAGAGGGTGAAGAATTAGAACCATAACCTCCACTTAAGAGTGGACTGCAAAGACTGGGTTTGGGCCGGCTCTGATAGAAAGCCAGTGAGATAAAAACAAAGATGGCTCCAGCAGCTGGTGTAAGAAGCCTCCATCATCATTGAAACAATTCACTAGCACAAGGCAAGTTAAAGAAAGTTGCCCTTCTAACATTAACCATACTATATACAACTCTCAGGCTGTGATTTCCTGATTCTGCTTCTTGTTCAAGGCTCTCCTTGACCTAATTTCCTCTGTAAAAGAACATGAAAGCTAGAGAGGTAAGGGAGAAGAAATCGATCTGTATATTTGCACTGGTCTCCATACCTTGCCTGTACTCTGTGCCCCAAGATGAGCAAAGCCTGCCATACTTCCCCTCTGCAATAATGGCTTTCTATTATGCTCCCAAATATAAAATATGCTGCAAAGCAAATTGTACATTTCTTCCACTGTAAGATCTGGGTCAGTAGACCTTCTTTTCTCCCTGTGCGTCTTCTTAGCTGCAAACACACTGGGAGACAATTTTGATCCCATAGTTTAGAACCACCCCATAGTTTGGGATGTAGGTATGTAGGTATTATTCCCCATAAAGACCTCTTAACCTTTTAAAACAAAACCAACTATCTCTGAGTTCCTCACTCATCAGTGAACTGATTGAAAAGCAAAGGGACTCTGTAGCCCCAACCCTGGCACAGTGTCTGGCTCCTAGCAGTGGCTCAGGAAGTGGTAGGGAATTTCTCCAGCACTGAATTTATTAAGTCTTGGGATATACACTAAAATTTGATCATGTGTTTGAGCTTATCCATGTGTACACAGGCCCACCATTCGGTCTTTTCCCTAACTTATTTCTTTGTTTCCTTTATCCACCTACCAGGGAGCTCAGAGATATTTCATGGTAATGCCGCATTTCAAACCATACATACACAAAGTAGTATCTAGTCTTATGCATCATTGGTGTATAAAGGAAAAGCTCAATGCATTGTGGATATCAGGGTTTTGAATGTACAGCAGACACAGGGAAGCAAAGTGAAGTACAGCAAGGAAGGGACCCCCTTACCAAAGCAACTTTCTTTCTCTTATTACTCCTGTTCCTTATTTCTCTGCTCCCCTTTTTCCTTATTTTCTGTTCATTTTTCCTCTTCTTTCTTTTTAAAATTTTATTCTCTTTCACTAGGTCTTTAGGCTGCTTGGGCACCCACAAGAGTGACCGACATTACCAAAGGCACTCAGACTGCCCATCCTATCTTTCTTACTCTAAGGATGGCTTTTGTTATGAGAGAAAGAATGTCCACGTTCAAAAAAGTTATAGCTGGTCTCCCCTCTTTCGCCTCTACCAGAATAGAGCATGTGGAATGGGGTCGGCAGAGCAGGTCTATATAGGGTTTCCCTATATGTCCATTTGCCATGGTAAAATGACAACAATCTTATTGGTTAACTTAGACAAGTTTACACAGTTTAAATACAAAAATTTTTAAAGTCAAGATAACATTAGTCAACTCCTTAGCTATGAATCATTTATTGGCAAAGAAATTAAATGCTCTAAAAGATTTTTTTAATGACTTGTTTTGAAATCAACACATTTTTTTAAAAAGCATATTTTACATATACCACTGGTTTCTAAGACAGTTCCTTCTCTACTGAATATTATAAATCAGAGCTCAGTTAACGATGTCACAAAATAAAATAGATTTTCCATCTGTTACTGGTTCATTGCCCAAGAGTTCTGCTTTGTTTAAGATTTCTGACATACAGTGACTTACAATTTCATACTTTCTTGTTAATCTTTTTTCTCTCATTCTCTTTTCTTTCCCAGAGTATGTCATTTCTATTCTCAAACAGTTTCAATATGTGGCATTATTGTAAATCACATATATTAGCACTGGTGTATATTCTTATAAACACTGTCCTAAACAAAGCCACATGTTCTTTTCTGCAAGAAAATTTTAAAATTATTGGAGACCTAATTCTACTTTTAAATTTTATAATAGTATAATTATCCTATTAAATTTGGAGTCTACTCAATTGATATCCCCATTGTTTTATAAAAAAAGCTACATTTTAAAGAAGTATTTGAGAAATAAGGTATTTTATAAGTAATGAAATAAAGTTTTTGAGCTTTGGGGCCAAATTTTGCCATTAAATTAATTTTAAAAATTTCTACTTATTCCAAAGTTATCTGACCATTCATACTAAGTTGCCATTAAATACTAGCCTCAATTACATTTTTTTTGGGTTTGTTCTAAAGCATTTTTTCCTAATTCTGATTGAGCAATTAAATATAAACCTGATACTTTTATCAACTACATATCTAGTTCTCAATAATGCTGATTGGGGTGCCAATATTCTTTATACCAAAAACATCCATGTGACTCACCCAATGATTCACTAAAGGGGGCAAGTAGTGAATCAAAACTAAAAACAAAATTCTCTTGAATAGAAAAAAGACTTCTTGGTTGCAAGATGGCATTCAACTAGGGAAGCTACAATGCTGACCAGTCACTGTATTTAAATTTGTGAAAATGCATGATACAGAAGGCTTGTAACATCTTCATATAAAGCAGTGCCCTTGATTTTCGTTATTATGTATAAAGTGCTCTGAAAGCACATACATGAGCAGTTGTTCCCAAACGCTTGCTTCAACAATGTTCCATGTTCTGTGCAATACGTGTTGTAATTCTTATCTTCATTATCATAGTCTTTCTAACACTCATCTTTGGGTCTTTGGTATTTTCTTGAATATACCTTTGGCACCAGTTTTCTCATTCTGTTTAATAGGTTAATAACAATTCTTTAAATGATTTGCTCCATAGGACATAACTCCAAACATTGAAACCAGACATCTCACTCAAACCTTAAAGGTCATTATGAACCACTTTAAATGATTTCAGGAATCTAGCCAACTTGTTAAATACTTATCTTTCAAATGGCAAAATATAGGGACTTAGCTAAACTTCACCAGCAAAGGCATTCTGAAACATTTTGTCCAATAGTGAATGGTCGACTATTATACAAAAATCAGTGCAAAGTTTCATCCAGGCAGCCTTAAATGCACTCTTAGATGAAGAAATAACATCATGTAGAATTTCTGTTGTTCTCACCAGTTTTTGCAGATAAGATTTTTTAAAAATGATCAATCTATTAAAAACACATTTTACCTGCCCACCCTTTTCCTGAGCTTCACAGCCTATAAAAATGACATCATAATAAATAAAATTTAAATTCTTAACTAAAGGCCCACCACAAATTTTAACCAACCCCTGGAACCTAGAGTAAGTCCATCTCTGAGTCTATTTTATTCAATTTCACTTTTAAAGAGAAAAGTCTAGCAAGCTGGAAAAAAAAAGTAAAACTGATCAGTGTGGAGTAGTCTGGCTGTTACATTCAGCAGTTAGGCTGTGATATGATTGCCCATGATGAACTGCCATGAATGGTAAAAAGATAACAGTATCAAACAATTATTTGGCACAATGCTGGCCAAGTCAAAGCTTTTCAGAAAGAACTACCTTCCCCTCATTGTTTATGGAAAATTAAATTTGTCCTACCCTCAGTCTTCAGGGAAACAATATTATCAGTTTAATCATCTACTTTTCATTGTTTTTCACCAAGAGTGGCAGAATTTGGAAATGGGGGGTTTGAAATGTTTCCAATTGTGCAAGAACTTGATATTGGTCGCTTCTTACACACCTCATCTTAAAAAAAAACAGCTTTGCATCTAAAGCACTTATCTGTCACTTGATAATATGTGGACATAGTTTCAATTTGGATGACACTAAGGACTGCTGAGTAATAACCAGGGTTCTCTCCAGTCAGGTCAGCATGCATCTCACCTTTGATCTCAAGTGCACTGGACATCAGTGCCTTATGTTAACATCTTCACTATAAACAGTTCGGGCATTTGGAAACAAAGGATCAATGGACTTAACGGTTACTTTAATTCATTTTATAAATAAGCAACTGAGAATTTTGCTCCAAGTGGCTGCTAGTGTAGCCCATCCCATAAATGGCATTCTCCGAAGCATAAGGCACAATATGATATGAATGCAGCTCTTCATAATAGAGAGACTGAGAACAGCATTCCTGTACCATAAACTTCAGCCGTTTTCTTGTATCAGAATAGGCAGTCTTATAACAGGGAGCTTCCTTAAAGTATTCATAGCTCTCCTTCTCCGTCTCTAGATGTATCTTCCTCAGCAAATTGTTAATTAACACAGACCTTCTTAAGTAGGTTTCTGGGTCTTCAAGAAACCTGAGCTTCTCCAGAGAAAGTTTGAGAATGCAAGTCCTGTCCTCAGGCAATATCAGGTGCTGGAAAGCAAAAACATCATTAAAACCGTGTTTTAGAAAAATGAAAACTAACATCTTTGCCATTGATTAGACTCAAACAAATGAAAAAATTAGTAATAAGTAAACTCTTACTTTTGGAAAATACTCATGGTAATCTTGATGTAAATCTTCTTCTTCTGCATATTTTCTCTTAAAATAGGCTACTTTCGACGTTGTTAATGTATATGTTAATACTTTCGTTGGATAAGCTAAACAAAATAAAATAATTGGAGAAAAGTCAGATTTCTTTATTGTGCCAAGGAGCATTTTGTAACATAAGTTCTACTTGTAAAAAGAAACTGGTGACCCAGAAATTAAGATTCTATCTATTTACTAAGCAACGTGCTGAAGAAGTCTGTGGCAATTGTCTTGTTACTGAAAAGCCTGTTTGCAGTCAAATGCCTCTATTCAGATCCAAAACAGATGTCATAGGTCAGTGAATTATATTTATTCCCTTATGCAGCCCCTCAGAAATAAAATACTTACCGTCCTCTATTTAATTTCATGCTATTTAACATCAAAACATGCTCAAATTTGAAGTTGATTCACAAAATGTAACCAAAAGAGATGTTATTTCTCTGCATTTTTAAAGTTAAACTGCCTGATTTACAAAGGGCATTTAATGTTGCTGGATGAGCCAAACTGGTATAAAATGGTTGGTGACCCAGCTACACTTCAAAGAAATCATTATGGGTAGCTGTATACAAACCTTATATGATATGGTCATGGGATAGCCATCCTCATAACATGGTTTCAAAGGTTAGTCATTAGTAAATGAAAGGTTTAAATAACTCACAAACTTGACCTTGATATACTATCTGAAAGTGAAAATATTTGTTCTGTCCTTTAAAATACTACTGTTATTGAGGATTCTAACTTGTTTTAAGGAAGGACAGTTTCTGAAGTCAGATTTTCAGAAGAGAAATCATGTGGTTTAAAGGGAGTTCCTAGTGTGTCCTCTAGGTGGTGTTCACATCATAGAAATGAAGCAAGTCCTAGAAGCAAAAGACAAACTTGCAGTAGAGCTTTGAGTGCATTCAGAATATAGATTGAGGCCAGTTCAGTACTCAATTCCACCTTAGGGGGCCAGACCAGAATGAAAGTTCATGTTTAAACATAACCTATTTTACCCTTAATCCATACGCTCAAAATTTCTAGGTGTTGAAACCATTTGATTCACAAAACGAGTAGTTTATTAATGAGTAGGTTAAAGAAATTTACAGTTAAGACATTGATGTTTTTCCTCTAATGTCTTAAAATTTTTAAATCTTAAATATAAAAAAATATGCTCTTCAACAACCTCCCTCTTGAAGATTTTCCTCCAACTTGGTGGCATCTGCAGCTTTCTGCAGCTTTCGGTAGCTGGATGGTTTTCCTAAACCAGTAGAAAAAGCTATAAAAATCACCCCAAAGTGTTCTAAAGTTTCACTGACACCACTGTGGATTGTAAACTCAAGAGAGCCTTCAGTTAGAGTTGGCATGTTTTGTTAGGGCAGTAAGAATTTTAAACCACTGCTGTGTCTGACCTAAAAATAAATGAACATACAATGATCATCCACAATTGAAGCAAAGACAACAGTTGCTACTATATGTATACAATCTCTGAATTCAAGAAGCAAAATTCAACTAATATGGAGTTTTCACAGATTTCAAAGGTTAGGAAAAAAAAGAAACAAAAGTGTATTGAAAACAATGGAGCATCACTGAACCCAGTTTCGCCAGAAGCTGTTTTTTAGTATACTACATTCTTTTTAAGGTGTATCTCTTAGAATTTCATCAAATAATTGGGTGAAGCTTTTTGGGTTATTCCATGATGACAATTAATTATTGTGACAATATTCTTTTTAAATGATTTAACTAGTTGATGCCACAGCCATTCTCAAATGCCAGCGAGCATCACAGTCATCCTGAAGGGTCTTTAAAACACAGATTGCTGAGCCCCCTTTAGAGTTTCTAAAGCAGTGGGCCTGGGCTAGGAGCAGAATTGGCAGTTCTAACAAGCGTCCAGGTGGTGCCCAAGCTGTAGGTTGGGAGCCGCAATCTGAGAGCCTCTAGGTTGCGGCACTAGGCAGGTGTGCGCAGCACCACAGCATAAGTGAGAAGCAGGATGCTCAGCCAATCAGCTGATTGCCTTGTTATCAGACTGCCAAGCAATTGGCTTGATTGACTGCTGGTGTCGCCATTACAACCTTGGCCCCGTTGGCTTAGAAGCTTTAGCATCACGAACAAAGCCAGATTGCCTTTTAACTAAATAGTGAAGAAAGGATGAGGTCACTTTTGACATAAATTCCTAAATTCACATTAAGAAGTATCAGTGACTGCTATTAGCATTATAGCTGGAAAAGTCACTGACTTTTTCTGTTGTTTAAATAAGGTCCAATGGATTACTACAATGTAGGAAAGGGTGAGGAAAGAGTTGGTAATAGAACAGTGACTTTACCATAAGCAATTATATTTATGTATATATACGTATGTATTTTTTAATGTCTGCTTATTTTGTTTCCAACATAATGCAATGTCTACAGCATTGATGATCAGTTAAAACTCTTTGAATAAATGATATATGGGAGGGTATGTGATAACCAAATGTCAAATAAACTACGTGATGCTCTGGGGAAGGTATTTTTATTCAACCTATCAAGACCAAAACATTATTAGTGTCTCCAAGGTTCATAAAGATTCTGTCTAACTATATTCAAGCAGTTAAGATGCAGAATATATCAGACCCTGAAAGCACAGTAAATTCTCAAGGGTCTAGACTTGCGTCTCATCTCCATGGGCAACACATTTAGCCACTTAGTTTATTGCTCTTAAAAAACACCCCTATGGGTTGTTGAAATGCTGAAAAGCTTTCACAGCTGGTATCGGCTTGACAATTACCTCCTTGCAGGCTGTTTTGCTATTTGCAATGTTTTCAACATCAAATTTTAGAGGATGCTTTTAGCCACTTGAAGGCTAAAATATATAGCGAACATAAGCTCCTATATCTATTTTCTTGGCTAGATTGGAACTCAAAAATTCCAGAGCTGGAAGCTATTTATCAATCAATTATTTATTAATCCAGAGTTTACAGATGAGAAAACCTGTGGCCCAAGGAGAGTTCAATGATTTACAATCAGTTGTGTGCCTAAGGGTTTGGGTTTAGATATCAGATTGAGGCAGGTTTGGATTCCAGCGTGGCTGCTTCTTAGTTGTGTGACCTTGAGAAAATTACATAAACTCTCTATAAATCTCATTTGTAAAGTGGTGATAGAAATAATACTGGCTCATAGGATTGTTGAAATAATTCATGGAAAGTGACTGGCACTGTGCCTAGCATATAGTAAGCACTCAATCAAATTCTAGCTCTTATCACTGCCAATAGGCACAGATCTATCCCAGAGACTCCCAGCCTGGCCTCCAGCTCTGATTCTTAGACTCTTTCCACCAACTTTCCTCCCAGAGATACTAGATTATAATTGAAGAATTAAAAGACTGCAAAAGAATATTTTAAATGGTCAAGCAGAAAAGATACAGTGCAGGTACTATAATGACTCCAAGAAAATGTTTGTGAGTTTATTGCGCTTGTCATACATTTTGGGTGAAGGAAATGTAAATTCTTTTTTAAATATCCAGATACTATTTGAAGAATTAAAATTACTCTGAATATCCAAAGAAAATTGCCTAGTATGATCCAGTAAGCATGTGTAAATTGTTTCATTCTCCTGCAACTAAAAAGTCAAACTCAACCCAGCCTTGAAATAGACAAGAAAATATAAAATGACTTAGTCTTAATTTTCAGCATCCTGAGTTCTGAGTACACTATATATATAAACTATAAAACTGAATTAGGCTGAGCCTAAATTTACCGTAAAAATGACTAATGCTGGCTTGAATATTCAAATTGTATTTAATGTTGTAACCTCTGAGCACATAAAATATCTGTGCTAAGCTCAACATATTTCATGGTGTAAAACTTCAACAAGCAACAGATTAAAAGTTACAGACTAGAATGACCCTCCCTGCCACTGGAGTTCTGGCAGTATAATCTATACATTTTTTAAAATAAATGTTTAAAAATGTGATTATAAACGATTGCTCAGATGCTCTTCCTTACTGTCCTGGAGCTGCCTGCAGACAACTGAAATCCTATTATTGTACAAGTGATTTCATTAAGTCCATGGCCCAGGGGCAGTACATCAAGGAAAGATCATCAGCAAATTAATTTAAAGACACTTTGAGAGAACATACAATAATAAAAGCAGAACTCCTGTCATAGGAATCAATTCTTTGTCCAAGGCTGAAAAGCTGAGAGATGGTGAAGAAATGATGAGTTTAATGTATCTTAATTTAGCAAGTTTTCATTTTATTTCCCACAACACTTTAACCAACACAAGGTAAAAATGGAACTGGGACCATCCTATTAGATGTGTGCATCCATAGCCACAAACAAAAGAGGAGTCTGATCAACAGGGAGAATAAGTTGTCTCAGATCAGCAATCGACTCGTGTTGTAGATAAATTATGGGCCTGGACTTTAGTCTCTTACTGATTTCCCTTTGTATGGTGTTAGCCTGGCACATGCCTTAAAAAGTCCATGTCCCTGCCTATCTAAATAATAAAAAGCTACCGTAACCTCCTTCCTTAAGGGCTGTGACCACTTTTGTTTAGAAAGAGCTGTTCCATCACTGTTACTGTTAGCCACACTCTGCAATTTTGCTACATGGCTTAAAATACTTCGACATGATTTTCTAGTGCCATCCCACAGCACTAGTTCAAATCCCAGCTCTACAATTTTTGTTTAGTAACTTTAGACAAAATATTGAGCCTGAGTTTCCTCACTGATTAATGGGGGAACAATATCAAACTCATTGAGTTGCATGTGAATTAAGTGAGATGATGTTTAAAAAGCATTTACTCAGTGCCTGTCACATTTCCCTGTATTTTCTCTCAATAATTGTAGTGACCTCATTTTTGAAACCATAACTATATATCTTATCAAGCAGCACTGTGTTATAGGTAGGACAGTTGTCCTCTCTCTAGTGTTAAGCACAGGTTGCCTGAAACACGAATGTATTCTAGAAGGTAGATGAGTACAACATTCAAGGATATAGTGCTGCTGCTTCCTGGGGACCTTTAGCTTTGTTGCTAAAGCTTTATCCCTCATAACCCCTTGCCTGGTGCCTTTCTGTATAATATGCTCTATGGGAGCAGAACTCAGTGCCAGTTTTTAGGTCTGAATCAATGGGGCAGTTTGTTTCTTCAGATGGACCATCCATGCCCAGCACAAGATTGGCTCTCCTGGCAGTTTAGAATTGCCAACAGGTTGCTGCTCCCAGAAAACTTTGTTAGGAATTCCCAGGGATACTGACAGCCAATGAGTTAGAAGTTTCTCAAGAGCCCAGCAGCAGTGTCTGGTATTGGATTCCATGGCCCTCAGGATAGTTCTCAGCATAGGTATGGGATATTAAATAAAATGCCACCAGTTCCACAACGCTATCTGGTTCCACTGATGATGGCCTCTGAACCAAAGAGCACATCATTAAATGGGATATGACTAGCCATGTCATCAGGAAGTTGCCTTCGATGATGCACCAAAGCCTAGCTTGTGTCATGATCTGGTCTTTTTAGTGAGAGAAGCAAGGGTCGTAGGTTTCACAGGTAACCTCTGTGATTTACTGCCCTCAAAAATGTTTTTTATCTCAAAGATAATGTTCCCTTTCACTCCATCTTTCACCTTGGAAAGTGTGAAGAATCAGAAAGACATTTGACAAAGCAATCCATCACTAGATATAGGTTCCAAGAAATATCTAACCAAGAATGCCTAAGGTGATGCTATAACTCTCTTAGATACCCAGGTCTTCTGCTCAGAGAGGAGGGCTGTTTAATCCCTATGTAGAGTGCATTGGTCTTTTGAAAAGTACCTGATCTATATCACACTCAATGTCTTCCACTTTGATCGTGCCAACAAGTTTGGGTATGTCGCCAAAAACACTTAAGCAGATTATCCTAAAAGGGTTGTAGAAAAACATAAGCTGGAACTTGTCATTAACTTTACTCACTAAGATTAAATGGGGACATGGAGCTGAGTGACTCTGTCCTCATTCACATGGTGCCTGGTTTGTGTTGCCTCCTGGAGTTGCTCTAGTGGGGAAATGTTCTTCATTCACAGGTTACCTTTCTCCTAAACAGCTATAGGTACTTCATTAAATTGCCTTGTGTTCAACTCAAGCACTCCACTTACTAGAAGGTCTTATCCCCCACCTTAAACAGGGAGAAACTGAACCGTAAAGAGGTAAAACAAGAAACATGTGGGGACAAAACTGAGCCAAAGCTCTTGAGCTAATTCTCTTTGTAATGTCCCCAACTTTTCTTGATGTTTCTAATAAGATCTAATACTTACTAAGCCCTTTTGAAAAGCATTTAAAAAATAACACACACTCTGATATATCACTGCAGAGGGGATTCTCAGCTTCAAATTGTCCCTCTTTCCCTTTTAAGTATCACTGACATCTAAAAGACTCTTGTAACTGTACCTACCAAGAAGACTTCTGCTGCACTTTACTTTCTATAATTTATAATATGAAAAATACCTAAAAATTTTTTTCTAAACAAACTATTTTGCAATACTGACTGTAACAGTAGCAAACCCTTAATGCTATTCGTTTTCATTAAAAGTCTTTTACCAACCCCACTGAGAACTACAGCAGTAAACTGCATGGCTCTGTTATTAGCCTGTTAAACTCCATCAGGAATAAAAATAACTGTGTTAGGCTAAAAAGTGGAAACATTAAAATAATGTATTGACACTGGTTATACAGATAACTTATTTTTAAAAGATGGGGGTGTGGGGTGGGAATTGACAAGGATCAGCTCCTCCCAAAACTTTAAGACGTACTTCTTAGTTTTAGTGCTGAATGGGTATGGCCAATTTGCCCTTCTGCTTCTGAAATTGTTATTTTATTTTAGCTTTCCCTAGGTTTCTGAAGCATATTGCTCTGACAAATAGAGCAATTTGAACTGGTGATGTTTTGGCTTTAGAGCTATTGTCAGGACGTTGATGTTTTGACAGCTAAAGCCAGCTGGCATGATCCTCAGTGAAGAGCCCCGTTGTGGGCTCAGCATGTTGATTAAGCCTTTCAACATTTCTCTGTGTTTCAAAGCATCTTCTAAAATCCCATGAAAGTAACATGACATGAAATTGAACATGGAATGTTCACAGACACCTAAAATCTTCCAATAGAGTATATGAGGAAAACCTGAAATTAGAACTCAATTTCAGATGTAACCTGACTGATCTCAGCCTTATCTAAGCCTTGTAGCCCTAAGCACAACCTTCCTTATAACCCACCATATGTAGAAGTACTGCTGACATCCCCATTGAAGAGAGTGATGAAATCCTTGATTACAAATTGGTGGGATTTTTTTCACACTCTAACTTAGGATCCACCAATGTCTTTAAGTATTAATTAGGATTAAATGCTTATATTATAATGATACCATTTGATTTGTTTTTATTTATTTGAAACTAAATACCATGATAACATTTTCGAAAGAGTGACTTTAAACAGATGTTTATCAAAAGTTCATAGTATATATTCTGCACATTACACATTCATGATAGAATCAAAATTAGAGTTTAAGAACCCCTTTCACTTGACCTTTTTGATTGTGACACTGGTCTCAATGAAAGGACAGACTCTCACATAAATTAAAGGGCACCGAATGATTTTAAATTTCCATGCATATTATATAGGATGTATATAAGTTACTAATACAGAAGACTAATGCATATACATGAACCAATACTTGTGTCTGCTTTACTCAAACTTTCCTCAGATTGATAGCATGACTAGAACCCTATTTGCATCTCTTGGTAGATAACAATAAATCTTACTGGTCTCCTTGGATTTGTTTCTTACTGTAAAATATAGTAATTATGGAGGAAGGAAAAAGGGTGGAGGGTGCCAAAGGCTAATGAAACCAACATTTTTGATGGTTCAAATAGTCATCTTTAAAGCTTAAAATTATTAAACTACAGATATTTCAATAAGTGGCTGTAGACCAATACTTTTAAAGTCTCATGATATTCATAAAAACTATACAACTGGACCCAAATACATTTTCAAACAAGTTTCTGAATAAAACTGTTCAATTATTTATTTTGACAAAGGGAGGTAAAGAAAGGGAAGAAATGCAGCATGATATATTGTCATGAATTTGATTGTAGTTTGCTAACTGGTTAGTAGGAACTGTATATAGATAACTCAGTACATGCGAAAGTTACACAAGGCTAGAGGGCTGAACACTCATTAAAGAACCATCTTGAAAATTGAGTTTAAAATGCTTAATGCCCCCTGGGTTTCTATCATCGTAACCTTAATGCAAATTACATTTTTAAAAACCACCACAATCTCTTTTAGCAACTTGGAGAGAGTTCTCATTTCCTTCATTCAGATACATACCTGTGTGCTCATAGAGCTTCTGCCTGACAAGTTCTGTGAGCCAGGCTACCTAATTTGGTCCACCCTACTCAAATGAATCTTAGAGAGGAAAACATGTCAGCCACAAATGTCCTTTCTATTAACTTCTACCCAGCAACCATCTGTATAAACAACCCCTTATATTGATCTTGCAAGTTATGGTAATGCTACATTAGCATTTATTCCCCTGGCTACATATTTAAACAGTAATGTCTTTTAAGCTAGTGATTACCTAGTATTGCTGAAATCAATCTGAAAAGTGAATTTCTAGGACAGCTTCAGAAAATCTGGTGAGAGTTCCCCTCTGCAAAACAAGCATTTCTCACAGCCTCAAGCTTGTGAATGGCTACTTGAGATTTTGAAACAAGGAGACAGCCACAAATAACATCAGGGGAGTCAGGACTGCACTGACTTGAGCTGGTCATCAAGTCAGGAAAAAGCATGCAGACAGAAGGACACTATCTAAGATGTTTGAGGTGAGGTTGTTCTGGACCATACCAGATAGATAAATAGATAAACCTTCAAACACACACAATTACTTTCATGTTCTCAAGATTTAATTTTTAAAATTAGTCATCTTTACTATCCTAAGAAACTTGGAAATAAGTGAATAACTGAAATCATCAATTATTTACTGAGAGTTTATTTGGGGAAGATTATCAGTAGGTTGATTTTAAAAAATTATAGTCAGATACACTTAATCTGTTTTTGAATGCCAGATCTTGTGTATTTCAAGAAACAGTCTCTCTAAAGTAACAATCTAGCTGTTAACTGAAAACAGACTAGCTCAGTAGTTCTTTGGAACACACACTGTTTTTCACAAGATTTGAAATAGCCAAAAGGTACTTTTTCTTTGAAGACAGTTTTCTTTAAAGGGCCATGTTTAACTGCACCTTTTCTGCATGGATGTATGCTTACAGATCTCATCATCTTCTATATTTAGAGAGATGAGCTTTCCAGAGGAAGACAGGCAGCCAATGAGGAGGATCCCATCAAAAGAGAGGTGAGTTACTATGGTTACTTTTCAGGAGATTGAGTAACAGTGAATGGCTGCTCCCGGCCAAATGGACCCTTTCCAGAGTAGGACCTAAGAAAAAATGCCCCCCATACGTGTTGATTCAAATAGTCGAGACTACATTGTGTCCTTTTACCCTTAACCACAAGCTTTCTATGGGTGCTGGCGGCTTCCAGCTCTCCTAGCCGCACACCGACAGAGACGTCCAAGGAAAAACACGGAGCACTGAGAACTTCCAAACACAAACCTAACGGCGACAGGCAGGGGAGCCCTCAAGAACCAATTTCAAGATTAAAACAAACCAAATCAGGTTATTCGGGACCACCAGCCGGTCACTTTTCAATGGCTGGGGGTGGGGTGGGATCCCGGAACGCGTCCCTCTCCTCACCCTCAGTGAAGCAAGTCTTTTCTGAGCCTCAGGGGCAGGCACCTGGCTGGATGGGTCCAGACATACCTTGCGAGCTGGGTCCACTCGCCGGGAGATCGGCGCAGGCACCTGCCTCCTAAAGGCGCGGGGTTCTGCGCTCCCTGCCGCTTTTGCGGCGCTGTCACTCTTCAGACCGGCGCTGACAGCGAAGGCGGCGGCAACTGCAGCTCGGCGGGCAGCCCAGGCTCCTTCAGGTCTGTCCCTCCCGTCTCTGAAGCGCCTCTAGCTCCGGGTTCGCAACGCGAGGCGGGCGCGCAGCTGTTCTCCGCTCGCATTGGACCAGAGGGAGCAGATGTTACCCGGTTGCTAGGAGCGTTGCTAGGAGGCGATGACGCCCCTCCACAGCTCTGGAGCAACTTTCCCCGAGGTCGGGTGCCCCGGCGGGGGCTGCCGGGAGCAAGGTTTGAGAGCAGAAATGAGGAGAGGCAGCCAACAAAGAGCCCCAAACAGGGGTGCGGGGGTCCCGTGCTCGCCTAAGTCGGGTCCTGGGAGCGAGGTGGGGAGCTGCGGGGGCCCGAGCGCCCCGGCTCTGTGCACGGGGCTTCCGGGCCTGCTCCCGCGGGCCTGCGCGGGGGATGGGGCAGGGTAACTCGCCGCGGGCCCTAGCTGGGAGTACCTTGGGAAATCGAGTATGGGGACCGGAATGGAGCTGCCTTTTCAGCGGCTGAGTAAGCAGCAGGATTTGGTCAGTCCTTTTGGACACGGAGCCCCGCTGGGATGCTCGACGCCTTGGGGCAGGACCCTGGCCAGGGGCAGCTGGAGCAGGGCGCGTGTGACCCGAGGTGAGGCGTGTGGGATGAACATAGGATCCTGTGCCTTCTGAGGCTCTCCTTCCCAGCGTTTTTTTGTGTGTGTGTGTCTGCAAGTTTGAGCAATTGATAGATTTTGAAGAGGGAAAACTAATCCACGGGTATCAGACCAGAGCCTACTTCATTTTAGCACTGTCGTGGCTGCCTACTGGTGTGGTGCCAAAGGTCTGAGAAAAATGACCCTTCGATCTAAACTAGTTCCTTTATGGAGTTAGAAAGTCTTCGTTTTCAGGCGAATGAAACCTCAGGCTAATATGGAAACTTCTTTAAAATAAAAATATACAAAAGAAGAGGTACTTTTCACAAAGGAGATTAGAGAAGTATCCTTATGTCAGTCATTTACTGTTTAGTATAAATTTATTCAAAAGATTGTGTAGTCTCTGATATTTCACTCAAGTTATGCTTTTATTTTTATCATTACTTTTTGTCGTTGTTCTTCAATGAGGTTGTTATTCTTGGGTCGGGAGGAGGATGAGATCATGGATGTGGGCAAATTTGGGTAGCCAGTGAGCCAGACCAAAGAAGGGGAAGATAACAGACCTAGAAGAAAAATTTTGCCCAAAGCTATCCTCAGAGAGGGAACCTCACTGAAGAAGGATATGCACCATTCCCCTGGATCCCTGTAGGGCCAGGCCAGAACCTGGAAGGAAGAAAGCACCACTGGGAATCAATTAAAAAGAACAGTTGCTGTCTTTGGAGCCTGGGCAGGGCTGTGGTGCAGTGTCACGTTGACTCCTGCAGGGGCAGGCATTCTGCAAGCCCCGAGGAGCTACACAAAGTGGCCCCACGCATCTCAGGGTTCCTGCTCCCCCGGGACCCAGTACCAACTTAACACCTACAACAGAACAGAATTAACAGTTTGTTAGCCTGGAGATTTAAAAAGCTGATAGCATCGTCCTAATAATGACCTTGATTATAGGAATCCTTTCACGATATATACAAATATCAACGACTACACTTACACTTGAAATGTCTTAAACTTTTGTCAATTATACTTCAATAAAGCTGAAAAAAAAAGAGCCAATAATTTAAAATCTGTCTGGAAGAAGTAATAATAAGTCAAAATAGGTTGAAGATCTGATGATCAAATTTTAGCTGCAAGGTATGAAAGGGGGGCTTTGGGACTGGTAGACCTCACATCCAGGAGATGGCCAAGGCAGATTTATACCACTGCTACTTCTTATTCACTGTCGGGGATGAAACGAAGGGATATTATCAGTCAGCCTTGCCATGATGGCTAGCTCATCTCAGGAGGATCTCCCCTTTGCTCTGCAAGGTCCAGGCATGCCAGGTTTTCTTAGGTTCCTCAAACGGCAAGGGCTGTCATTCATCTCAGGTATTTTGCACATGCTGTATCTTCCTCCTCAACCTGCCTCCCTTTCACCTGGTTTACTCCTACTCAGCCTTCAAGTCTCAGCTTAAATACCACTTCTTAGTGTCTTTCCCTTACCGCCTCCCACTGACTAGATTAGCCTCCTAATTACATTCCCAAATCATCCTACTCGTCCCGTTTCACAATAGTCACCACCTCAGCTTTTAAGCTCCTCCCACCTTGCTAACCTCGCTCCCCAGCATCTAGCAGACAGTGCCTGGAGCGTCACAGGTAATCATGAGCACATGGGAATGAATACAGCAATTCTGCCTGGCTCCAGGTCCCTGTATTCACTTCATCTATGTAGCTGTCAGCTAGTGAACTTACACAAGCCATGGATGCTAGTTGCTTTTAGTTGAGTGGAGGGAAAAAAGCTATTACACAAAAAATTGTTTTCTTCCCTTAATGAGACATTGTGCTGATACAGCAACTTCTTTTCCTTATCACAGTATCTTACAAAGGTCACTTTAAAGGCATTGGGAAATAACCTAAAAGTCCTTTATATATTTTCCTAATTCTCTTCTCTCTGTGTCCTCCAAAACAGATGTGAATCCACTGAGCTGAACTGCTTCATTTCTCCTTAAACCACTCTTGTACCTCAGGTGAGAAGCAGCTTCCATCACTACATGCTTGTCTCTATGGAGAAAAGAGGAACAGCTGTCTAACTTGACCAATATGGACAGCACGTCTTGAATGCTTTAGCAGAATAGGCCAGGACATCTTATTTTCTGTTGTTAATATAACTCACCAAAAATTGTCAAATCCCCTCTTCATCTGGGACCACCTCAAGCCAAGCAACAGATGTTGAAAGACATGAAGGAAAGGTCAAGGTAATCTCAAGATAACATAGTTGCTTGGTGGCAAAGCTGGAAATAGAACACAAAGATAAGAGTTTAATCTTTACTGAACTATTAATGTGGGCAGATGTAATTTTTTTAAATCTTCAGTTCTCCTGGCAAGAGATCAGAGAAAATCTTCCACCAAACAATTTTGGATTTTAAAATTAAATATTAAAATACCATACAATCCACCTTAGAATTCATCTAAATTAGTCTTCTCACCACTGAATCTTGTCCCTCCTCAAGAAGACCACAGATGTAATACTAATCCTGTCTCCTACTCTTTATCTGCTGAAAAGAATGAGATGTTTTACTATGTAGCGGCATGCACATTAAAGTTAATCGGAGCTCTAAACTGTTACCCAATATTCCTCCTGAGCCATATCTCTGAATTTCCCTGGAGAAATCCTACAGAAACTGTAAAGAGACTATGATATTTTTTAAGATATATAATGTGATTTGATTCATCAATAAAATGTTACTCGAGATGGTTAAGATTTTTAGAAACATTACTACAAAAGACTTGAGGAACCACACTTGTAGATAGCTGTCGCAATCATTTTAACATTTAAGGATGGGTAAGTCTCTGTTGAAGAAATGTCAAAAGGTAGCAATCACTGTCAAATTTTTGGTTCTGCAGATAATTTACTCTAAAAATCTGTTCCCCTGAAGTAGTCTGCTTTTGCTCACAATTATATATTATTCACTTTGATGTTTTTAACATGTCACATATGTATGTAGTGCACACACAAACATGTCAAAATGCTCAACTATACTCAGGTTTATCAGCTCAAACTCTACCCTCTGGCTTTGGAAATGTGAGCTCAAATTATCTTTATTTGCAAAAGCCCTTGCACCCCAGTGTTAAAAATGCTCTAAGATAACCAGTGTGAACAAGTAGAATTTCTTAATCAGCCCATGATGTTCCAGTGCCACTATGGGTTAGAAAGAACTTCAGCAACAAACGAGCTTGCAGTTAGTAAGCTTTCCTTAAATCCTCACCACCACAGCAACCTTTGAAGTAAGATATTTTAAAAAGAAGGAAAAAATGTGTGGTAGATACTATCTAGAAGATTCTCACTGAACTGATATTCCCTTGTACACACAAACTACAATCCCTAGTCGTCTTCTTAAATACGGTGGATCCATGTGACTAATTCTGACCAATGGTGTCTAGAGAAAATGGAGATTATCACATCTCAGCCTGGCCCCTTAAATGTACATTTTATTCTCAGGCCTTTTCTTCTTCCTCCATTTGCGTGGCCATATATTCCTTCAAAAGCCTTGAGGAGACTAAGATGGCCATCAATCCCTGAGATGCTTCTATGAAAGCAAGCTGCATGGGCACAAACATTTTAGTAAGAATTAAGTCTTTCTTAATGGTAACTTGCTGACATTTGGGATTATTATAACAGGTAGCATAAATTACTTCAACTAATACAGTATGCAAAAAGGTAAAAATAGATTTTCCTGGAACACCTATAGAATTTTTTTTTTTCTGTTTTGGGGATGTCAGCCCTGGTTTGACTACTATGGAGGTGTCTGATTATAATGACCTTGCTTCCCCTGCTTTTAGCTTGCTGTATCTGAGTCTTGGAAATTTATTAGAATCGAGTATACATAAAGGGGAGAGGACTCTGAACAAGAGCCTGTATGATGAGTGATTACCTACACTTTTGTACAAGGATACCTATGTTTTGTCTTCTCAGAATCCTCTCCAGATGCAGTTTATTTCAGGTGATCTTTACATTTATATAGCCCCTTACCCAATATTCTTAAATTCAACACTTTAAACTAGCAACTAAGTTGATATACATTTATTTGTATATGTGTTCCACATAAAAATCTATAGCACCCTAAAGCCAAAATAAATCATATGGGTCATAAATACAGTGCTTATAGTTCTAATATATATGTCTGCAGTTGGTATGGTTTTGGAGTTAATGGTTTTTGTGTATACTAAAATAAGTAATATCATTCAAGCCCATAAAATTTGCATGTTGATGGTGCAAAACTGTTATCTTTTTTTAACATAAAAAATTTTCACACATATAAGCCATCTGCTTAAACTTTATTGATAAAACCAGTAGCAGCAGTTTTACAAAACTGGAATGATTTTCAGTTTTGAATGATCATGAGTTCAGTTACAGCAGACATTTTGTACAAACTGAAGCTAATGCTTCTTCAATGTTTCTGTTTTAAACAAAAAGCAATTCAAATTTATACTCATGCATTTAAATATCTAATACAGAATAGTTTTTAGGCTGCATAAAATATGCTTTCAACATCACTGTGAGACTGAACATCTGCCTTAAGCATTATTTGCACAAGAAAAACAGTATAATTCTTCTAATCACAGACTTATTCATCATCACAGGTAAACAATTTTATATTTTCTAATGTATTTTGAAAGGGTGTTTCTAACACAAGTGTATTAATATTAAGTATTTCACTGGGTTGCCCAGTTAAAACACAAGATATAATAGTGTAACAGTAATGCATTAAATCATTATTATAAAATTTTGAACATTATAAAAAGTGGAAAGTTATTCTTGTTTTTAACAATTAAAAAATTTTTCAAAATTTTTCCTATACACTAATTATTCTCTGATGGGTAATTTCATAAATGGGTGGGTCATTATACTCTATAGCTGTTTATTCTGATAACAGATAGAAAAACATTCATGCTTCTTAATAGGAGACACAGTAAGTCAGTAAGTCGTACTATGAGAAACACAAAGATACATACATACGATGTTCTGAAGGTATTCAAATGTTTCTAAAATAAGAGTTCAATCCTTTGGAGGAGAAAATATTTTTGTTTCTCTCTTGAATCTCTGGACCACCCAGGGACTGATTCTCTGATGGTCAACTGTAGAAGAAAAAATATGACAGCAGCCAGCTCTGAAAATGTCCATGAAGGTGTGGGGCAGCCCCTGACCTTACAAAAATAAAGCCTGGTCTTAAACAATCAAATAGATTTTAGGCTGCTTTTGCTGAGGAATACCTTCTAGTCACTTCAAAATCTAAAGGAAGACCAGATTTAATATTAAACCAGGTTATGCTAAACTGTCCTCCCTCCTAGTGAAATCCATAAAACTACTTATCATTATTCATAACCACCAAAAACTTAGAATAGTTAGTACATATAAGTAGCTCTTTAAAGTAAACGTGGGATGAAAAAGATATAGGCTTACAATATAATACATCTCCAGCATCCAGATATAAGTAGAACAGAAATACAAAGTACATTACCTGCTAAGAACAGTGTGTTCCACATAAGGTAAAATCTCCCCCAAATAGTTGCACATGCTCAAAATGAATGAATCATTCACATTTACATTTTTTTCATGCAATTTCTTCAAGGACACACATCAAAAATTGAGATATAAAGGAAAACCAATAAAATATTTTAAAACAACAGAGTTGCACACAGTATGCATATGGTGAAACATAAATGTGTGAATGGGAACAACAGTTTCAGACACCATATGAAGACAAAAAAAAATTCAAGCAAGAGTCAGATTTAGCTTGCACTGTGAACACAAAATATTGCTGCGAAATCTTGGATGTACATTGAAAATATTTTTTTTTAATCTTTACTTTTTCTGGAAGATAAATGGTATTCGAGAAGAAAATTATTATGTGGGTGAGGAAAGTCACTTGGGAGGAGAGGGATGGATAAGCCTGATTCTTCAAAAGAAAAATAATAATGTAGATTGAAGGACAATTTTTGGTGGGAGAAGCATCTTTCCAAATACTGTATTCAAATCCTATTTTGTGAAAAAAAACCTATTCAATTTAATACCTTCCTGTACTCAAAATTAAATTGTTCTAAAGAAGAAAGGTGTGTGTTCAACTCAAAGATTGGCAAGCCTGCTGAAAAGATGGATTTACAATTTGTTCTGTGGCCAGGATGTCTGAACAAAAGACTTAGAACCTACACTATTTTTATCTTCTCAGAGGCAGAATGGCCGGAGACCATTCCAACTGTAATTTTTCATCAAATCATTGATATTCTGCGAATATAGCTCAGTGATTGACAGATATCTAAACGTCTCAATTACTTTGGTATATTGACATGAAGAATTGATTTGACCTTAAAAAAAATAAAGTATCTCTCGGCCTTCAAAACCTTTTAATTCTGAGAAGTGTTTTTCCATCTATTACTTTGTCATGCCTATAGCCCTGGTACACAGTGGGGACTCAGAGTGTTTGTTATATTAATGAAGGAATAAATGAATCTTATTCCAACAACAATCTGGTGAAAGTTAGTAAAATGAGTATAGTAATACTCACAGAGGCAAAGTGGAAGGCTTGGAGAACTTGTGACATGACACTCATTTTAGAGCTTGTTAGAAGAAGACTTGGTACTAGAGAACAGTCCTTATTAATTTTAATCTAATCCAATATTCTTTCCACAGCCACACCATCTCTGCACTAACGCCCAGTTCCACAAGTCACTGCAGCTACAAAGCATAAAGGCAGTCAGTATACATTTAATAATGTCAAAATATTTAGCAGATACTGTCAGTCAGGCCTCCTCAGGCACCCAATGTGATTATCAGTGTCATCAGTCCAACGTCCACTCCTTGTTCATTCAGCCTATGCAGTATCACGGGTCAGCCCTCCACTCAGGATTCAGAGCTCCTGTGTGATCCAGATGCTCACATACCACGCTTAGCTCATTTGTACAATTGGCTATGACAAGGTACAGTTAGAAAGCTTCCTTTCTTTTGGCAGCAGTGGTAAATTTAAAGTCATATAAACTAGTAACAGACGGTGGTTTTCTATTATGAATCAGTAATAATGAAATTAGCACTTTTTATCAATGTGTATTTAAATCATTGCTCAATGATTTAAAGCAACAACAGAAAACACTAGAGGAGAAAAAGGCTTAGATAGGTTAACATAAATTATTAAGTTATGTGATATTTTTCACAAACCTTCTCCTCAAAAGTAAAACAAGTCCAATAGCATACAGGTATAATTGATTCCAGAATGGAAGTTGCTACATTTGATGGGTTATATGAACTAATCCATCTATTTTTCTTGAGAGAGGGCACAGTAATAAGATGTACTAACAATTAGAACTAGAAATAAAAGTAAATAGATAATAAACAAACTGGCATATCCAGACAATGGGATATTATTATTTGGCACTAAGAACAAGTGAACTATTAAGCCACGGAAAGATAGGGAGGAAACTTAAATGCATATCACTTATGTGAAGGAAGCCAATCTGAAGAGACTACGTACTGTATGATTCCAACTATATGATATTCTGGAAAAGGCAAAACTATGGAGACAGTAAAAAGATCATGGTTGCCAGGGGTTAGCAGGGAGGGATGAACAGAGAGAACACAGATGAGTTTTAGGGTGGTGAGGGACACCCAAAGCGAACCCTAATGTAAGCTATGAACTCTGGTGATCCTAATGCATCAGTGTAGGTGCATCCATAGTAACAGTGCATCCACCCTGGTGGGGATTTTAGTAGTGAGGGAGGTTGCACAAGTGTCGGGTGAGGGAGTATATGGGGACTCTCTGTATTTCCATTCAGTTTTGCTGTGAACCTAAAATTCCTCAAAAACGTAAAGTTTGTTGATTATAAAAAGTAGATAGCTCACAGAAACCATCATGCTTTTTCCTGAAAATAGAGATCAAATCCTGTTGCAACAAACATCACAGAAATGCCTCAACCAAAAAAAAAGCAATACTAATGTCTTATTCACAAATTTAAAATGATAAAATCTGCAATAAAATTAAATTCAAAAATTCTGGAAGACTTTGTATTTCATAATAATTAAATCTGTAGCTGCATTGGTAAGGTGGCATAATAAAAGACAGAATTATAATTTGGTGTGGTTGTGAATTAACAAAGAAACTCAAGAGAGACATGTGGACCCTAGAATGTGAATACACTATATAGAATGATGGAAATGAAAATACTGTTTTTTTAGTGTACATGTTTCTCATAAACAAGAGTTTTTATTAGCAGCCTTTTGATATCTTTCCCAAATATCAAGGTCTTCATCAAATGAGAGATGTGAACTTACCATTTTGGGCTATCAACTGGGAAACATTACAAATTGTCAAGAGAATTTTCAGGTCATTAGAGATTCTGAACTAACTTACAAGGGTTGAGACATTTTTAGTAGATATTTGAGATATGTTTTTATGATATTAAAAATTATAAGCATTAAATCCATTGAAAAAAACTCCTATTTTGTTTCCTGTTATAAAAATAGAAGGCATTAAGAGTTAGATTCAGACTGATCGAAAATTTTTCCAGTCTAGAAACAATTACTGGTTCATCTGCCAACGTAGGGACACTTCTAACGTTGACCTTTAACCATTTCAAAGGGATGCTGCAAATGTGTTTAGTGGATTGTAACAAAAGACTCGTTTTAATCAAAAGAAACAAAAGTAAGCAGAGATGTTTGTTTCAAGTGTCACCCCTTTATCTGGGAGTTAATATCTCTGGTTCATGCTTTCAAAAAATAAAAGATAGCAATGCCTTTTAACTATTAAAACACAGAGCTCATAGGAACTGTGTCACTTTCGTTTGCACAGACCTAGCATTCCAGGGTCTAACCTACTACCTTGCAAAGGGCATTCATTATTAGAAAAGTAGAGAATACTAAATATCCAACTTCTATTTCATGCTATAACTCCTTTTATTACTGGAATGGAATGCTAGATTTCTTCCTTCAGATACAAGACATATATATACATTTATTTTGATAGGAAGCATAGATCGGCAAATTGTATTTCTTTCTTAACTAGAGGCAGAGTAATAAATTCCACTTTCCTTAAATCCTCTCTTTCAATGAGGAGGAAAGAAAGCATTACAGAAATACATTAAACCAAAAATTAAAGGATAATAAAAGATCTTACTGTTAACTTAGTTGAAAAAATAGAACATGTAGAAATTAAAATGATTGTCAGCCTCAAACTGTTGCTCATGTGCTATTCTCGAGCCCCTAAGCCAAAGTCTGAGACATAAATGGTTAATATCTTTTGAATGAATGAATTTTAGAAAACAATTTAGAAAAACAAGTAGATACTTTAAGGGGAAAATGAAGTAAACAAAAATAATGCATAACTATGGCAGTACCTGTGGGGAAGTAGCCTTCTCACAATCAAAGTGGAAACGGCAGCATTGTCAAAAAGGCATGAAGTAAAGACTCCCATGGAGACACCTTGAGGTGCTAGGGAGCAATGGAGAGCAGGCAGCACCATTTGGTGGTGGCTTTGTTCTAAGAACATCCACAGGCCCCCCGAGCCTGCCTCTGAGTTTGTTCTGTGTACCTGCAACCTGTTTCACAGGTTCTTCCATGGCTATAAATATTGCTGATCATTGTCTGTGTGTCTAGGGTACTTCTCTGTGACCCAAAGGAAAGAAAAGCAGTCAAAGCACCCTGGGAGAGGAAACTCACAGACCTCTGGGCGTCCTCCCAGTCACCCAAGCAAAACCTGAAGAGGAACTCCCCAGAGAAAACCTTCTCTGATGCAGAGAAAAATCAATGTGGAAAAATGTCCAAAGGGAAAGAAGACAGGCCTGGAGTGTTATGGTTGATTCTGTTTGGAGGTACCATACAAAATATTAGACCTAGAAAGAACTTTATAAAGGCTGTCTTCCTGGGTGCCCTCCTGCTCTCCTTTACAAAGAACCATCACCTCATACAGATGCTTTCTATTTTAAAAGACTTCCAAAGGTGATTCTGCAATATCCCTTGAAGATTCCCCCTCCACTGTGACCAAGGCTCATTCTAATTCCTGGGGCTCCTAGATGCTTAATCCAATATATCCAGTCTATATGTTTCACCTCTTTACAATAACACCCAAGAAGGAGCTACACTTTTTAGGGCA